TTTATGTTCATGTTCATGTTCATGTTCATGTTCATGTTCATGTTCATGTTCATGTTCATGTTCATGTTCATGTTCATGTTCATGTTCATGTTCATGTTCATGTTGATTATTACTATTATTATATTATCTCTATCATCATCATTACTGTTATCATTTTTGTTGTTGTTATTATTATTATTGTTGTTGTTATTAGTTTTATCATTATTATATTTATTATTATTATTAATATTATTGTTATCATTATTATCATTATTATTATTATCATTATCATTATTGTCATCATCATTTATATTAGTAGTAATAGTAGTAGTAGTATTAGTATTATATAATTATTATTATCATTATTATTGTTATTATTACTATTATTATTATTATTATTATTATTATTATTATTAATATTATTATTACTATCATTACTATTATTATTATTATCATTATTGTTATAATAACTATTTTCATTATTATTATCATCATCATCATCACTACCATGATTATCACTATTATTACTATCGCCAACATTACAATTATAATCAGTCATAATCATTATCATCATCACCATCAACATCACTATCAGGAACATTATTATGATAGCGATGATGAAGAGGAAGAGAACGGCGATATTCATTATCATCAATTTCATTTAAGAGCCTCAATATGAATAATACAAGTCACTATAACTTCGATTTCCACGGATTGTGATATCTATTTTATCTACTTACACTATACTCACCGAGCCAAAAATTTTCTTCGACATCATCTGGAAAAACAAATAATTATGATAACGTTGAGGGCGTCTGATTTTAGTAAATATGTATAAATATGCAAAATACATGACGTGCATTTAATGGGGAATTAAAGAGGAATATCACCCATAAGTTATGTAAGTTATAAGTTATGGAAATAATAACATCGGCACAACTGCCACAGTAATAATAGCTAAGAAAATAGTATTAATATAGCAACAATAACATCAAAACAACAATAAAAACTCCACCAATAACATTTACATCTCACCTGAACAGCAACTGACACAAGCCCAATCAGCTGGACCTACAAGCAACACCGCCATATTGGATCGAGGAACCAAATCTCTCCAGTACAAAAAATCCCATCGCATCGACCGCATAACGACTCGAGAAGCTAAGGCACGGCATTTTTTACTACCGTCGTCGTCATGGGTCGTACTTGAAGTCGTGTTGTCTCCGTCGTGTGTGAAATGAGGGAGAAAATGGACTTCGGCGCTCGTGACACGTGACCACAATTCTCCGATGAGGTCGTTCACATCTGCTTGGGTTGATTGGTGGGAGATGTGAACGAGGGTCAGGATTTTATGATATGCGATTTTTATGTATTATCTTAATACATTTATCTATGATTGTGTTACGAAGAATAATGATGATTATGATGAAAAACATTCTTATGGTTATGATGTGAAGAAAGTATCTTTAATGATTAAATTTTGACTTCGAAAGATACGTTATGAGAAAAATATATAATGGTAATAATAAGCTGCTAAAACAAACAAACGATTAAGGAGGTATATACATACATAATCAACAACTCATATACATACAAACAAAATGTACATAAATGGCTAAGAAAGCCCAGTGCTTCCGGAAACAAATGACTAAGTAAATGATTGATCATATGATGAATTAGATGAATTAACCAGTAGGGAAATGGAAAGCAAAATAGACTACTTGCCTTCAGTCGCAGTGGTTACGATAACGGCGTGTTTTATTCCCAAAACATCGATGGTCTTCAGGGTGAAATCCGCCATATTTGTTTGCTGATGATGGTCAGCATCTTCTAAAAATAAAAAAAATAAAAATACTTACATACACAAGCACACACATATATTTGTGTGTGTGTTTGGAATTCAGTTTACTTATTTCAGTTAGCAGCATATCGTAAAATACTAATTTTGTAAATAATTCGTGTTCAGTTTTATTCACCATTAAATATGTTGTTTTCCTAATCTGATTAGATTTCTTTTCGTTGATGTAATTATGATTATTGCAATTCTGTCTCGTTTGCCTTAATTTTGTTGCCACTAACGTATTAATTCGTTTCTCTTACTATTGTTAAAAACGAACATCATAATAACCAAAATTACACTATAAATAACACTAGGCAACAATTAACCATAACAATAATTACAAGAAAAATCACGAAAGAGAATAACAACAAAAAAACTACGAAAGCATAAAAAACAACGAAATAAAAAAAAATCTTACGAAATAAAATAACAAAAATCTCTTACGAAATTAAATAACATAAAAAATCATACGAAATTAAATAACAAAAAAAAAATCCCACGAAATTAAATAGCAACCAAAAAAATCCTACGAAACGAAAAAAAATCCTGAATAAAATATCACAAAAAATCCTACACCTTAATGAAAACCACCTACAAAAAAAAACTCACCTGAAGGAGCGGCATACCCTCTCCCTAACCCCTGCCCCGCCTTCAGCCCGAGAGCCAGGAAGAGCCACCCTTTCAGCATCAGTTTCAGGAACTTCATCGTAGTCATCGTCTGCGAGATGGAAGTGGCGAGAGATGTGAGGAGGAGGATGCAAATTAGTGACGAGAAATACGAAGAGAAAAAAAGAGGTATTTGTGTGTCTGTGAATGGGATTCCTGTCCTGGTTTATTTGTTGGATGCATGTGGGACGGATTCAGGTATTTTGAAGACCTATGAGCAAGTAGTATTTTGAAAGGGGGTAAAATATATATATGTGTGCATGTATACGCATACACGCACATGCACGCACACATATGTTATACTATATTATATTTCATATATATATATATATATATATATATATATATATATATATATATATGTATGTATGTATGTATGTATATATATACAATATATATTTACTTATTTATTTATTTATATACAGATATATATATATATATATATATATATATATATATATATATATATGTTCTTGATATAAGTTAGAGCAAGAGTTCTTAATTTTAGAAAAACAAAATCACTAGTCAATTCGCACACCATATCACAGAACCGAATGACAACTGACATACATTTCTATTACAGAAAAAAATAACATACTTACACTCTACCATTCAAATGCTATGATGCTACTCAACGTAATTTTCCAGTATATTACTCTTCGGAAAATACAGTTTCATGGCACTATTCGCACAACAGCGCTTCCGAAACTGCCTCGCCATCCGCGCTTCACTGGGTTTAATTAACACCAGAGAAAACGTAATTATCGAGAAACAGAAAATGGGAAATTATATTGGATATAATGCAATGAATTATTCATAATGAATGCTCATATAACATGCAAATGTACATGCTCAGATAGAGAAAAAGAATTTTTCAGTGTGTGTTAATGGAAATAGACATTTGGATAAATACACACGCACACACACACATACATAGAGAGAGAGAGAGAGAGACAGAGAGAGACAGACAGACAGACACAAAGACAAAAAGACAGACAGTTAGACAGACAGTGAGAGAAAGGAACAGAGAGAGAGAAAGAGAGAGAGAGAGAGTGAGTGAGTGAGAGAGAGAGACAGACAGACAGACAGACAGACAGACGGTTAGACAGACAGTGAGAGAGAGGAACAGAGAGAGAGAGTGTGTGTGGGAAAGAGAGAGAGAGAGAGAGATGTAGTGAAAGAAAGAGAGAGAGAGAGAGAGAGAGAGAGAGAGAGAGACGTAGATATAGTTGTAGATGTGTGTATTGTATGTACACAAGGACATCCAGATGCTAAATGCAATAAATGATAGTTCTGAATGGGTGAATTTCTACATACTAGTTTCCCTACTGCTGATGATGATAACAACATATATACTATTATCCCATATACCACATAACTGCATTCAGATATAGTGATGCAGATATACACTACATACCGTATACATCTATATAACACACTATACATCGCATAGTGCTATATTGATATTTCATATATCGTATGGCATTATTTGCAGATACATTATATATCGCACATAGCCTTTATGATAGGCTATCTCTGTCGAAACGGATATGCTTACCATACTAAAATCTTTTCAAGTGTCCTACGAGCGCACATCTGTCGTTTAGCCGTCAATGGGGTAATGCCTTGTTTCATAAGGACGATTTTGTGCAGGAACACCAAAGGTTTTCGTGATCGCGTGCATCTTATAGGTCTTGTGACTGCATTTGCTCGGGATTTAATATGCTTTTTCTTGATAATAGGTACAGGAGTTATGGAATACTGCTTGTGATGATAACATTGATAATGGCGATAACGATAATCGTTATGCTGCTGTTAGTATTACTACTACGACTACTATTACTACTACTAATACCACTATTATGATGATGCTGATAACAATGGTAATGATTATAATGATAGTAAATTGATGAATAGAATTATAGTGATATTGTTAATAATAATGATGATAAGAGTAATGGTGGTGATAATAAGGACAAT